TGTGACTCGCCGAGTTCATCAGGCAGATGGACAAAAATCGAATTTAGCAATCAACAATCAAGCAACCAATGCATCAATTCAATAGAAACCAATCAAGGCTCTGATACCACTGATGGGTTTGGAGCCATAAGAACATTCCTATGTGCACATACAAACCCTAATGCTTGGATCTAGGTTTCTCTAATTGAACATGCCATATATCCAAAACTTTGATTGATAGATTTAGTATAATAACATCAGAAATCAGATCTGAAAGATTACCTTGAATTACTTGCTTGAATCTTCTTATCCTTGGAGCTTAAAGTCACAAATGTCACTCTTCTAATGGCTTACAAACACCAACTTAGCAAGAGGATGATTTGAGAGAGAGAGAAAGGGTGAGAAAAGTCGGCCAGGGTTTCTCCAATACCAAGGGTGCCGATTTTCTTAACCCTATGGGTGTATTTATACTAGTGAGCCTCCTAGGGTTTCACCGTTAAACCCTAATTGGATAACTTAGGCCCTAAGCAATCCAATCACCTTATTGATAAGCGTTGGACGATTTCTAGGCTCACCCAAACCCTAAAATCCGTCCACCCCTTATCCCTAAGGAATCACTGTTCAAAATACAACTATCATACAATTGACAGTTTATGCCCCTTTATTCAATTAATCTCTTTAAGTCACCAAATTAATTCCTAATTAATTTATGACATACATTAATCAAATAACAATATTATTATTCCTTATATTATTCTCATAATACATTAATAATATTTCTTCTCTCATTATAAATCATCCTGTCAAGTTGCTATGGTGAAGGCAACCCAAAAGGACCATGCACAACCGGGTCAAATACTTGCCAAATATAGTTGCAGCCTTAGACACTATTCCAACACAGGCTTGGTAGCCTGGTGAGCATATAACGTTTTTACCCCACAATAAATAAATTTATTATGCTTAAACATCAAACAATCAACCCAATTACCCAATCCCCCATTATCTTATTCATTTCTTAAGGATTTACCCTAAAAATCAACTATCACTCATTACTAAGGATTCATCCTAAGGAATAGGCACCAAGTCCATCGCTGCTGAAGGTTTATATTACAAGCACTAGCAACATCGATCCCCACATACTAATTCTATACAGTAATCTTACTAGATCTAGCCTAAAGGATCGATATGAACAACCAACTAACGAAACTGCTTCGGAAATTCCCTAGGAGCAAACGAGGATCGAAGAAGACATCAAATGAATGGAATAAGTTTAACCATGAACCTTTGCTCATAAAAGAAAGAACCACCAGACAATTAAGTCAAGGGTAATTATTAATGCCTAGGTTGTGGTCTGAATATCATGAGGTATATAAACCCCTGACGCACCCTATCCAACAATGGAAACGCTGACTAATTCCTAGGTTGTGGTATGAATACCGTGAGGTATATAACCCCCAAACTCACTTCTATCCTGCATCAAGAATGGAAACACTGACTCATGAAGCTCGTCCGATCACTTCATAAAAGAAACAAAGACTCCACATCTCTTCAAAATAAAGGTATAGGGAAAATACTAATAAAGTACTCCCGTACGCTCCCGTACCCAGACACGTAATAGTGTAAAAAAAAAAAGAACTAACAGGGAAAATACTAATAAAGTACTCCCGTATGCTCCCGTACTGATTACAAGTCTACTAACGTTCCACTGGACTATCTAAAATAGTCTGTGGCCGTTGTCTATACTCTACTAGATGACTAGATCATCTTAAACATCGATACCTCTCATCACCTTTTATTTCATCACACATCATCTAATTCATCTAACCATGTTTTACCCAACAGATTTGTAGATAAAAATACATATACAGTTTAAAACTTGTATAAAACATCTATTCAACAGTCACCTTAATTAAACAATTAATATAATTACACATAGCACGTATTTTAAAGAAAATACTTCATATATATGTGTAAGGTGAAAGTGACTATACACTCACCTTAGTAGGTGGTGACTCAACACTCGGACAGCGCTTCGATACTCTCAAAACATTTTTCCTTCGATAAAACCTAGTATCAATTCCACTAGGGTTTAGTCTAACGTCAACCGTGACTAATTAATAGTCTAGCTATTATTATTATTATTATTGTATAAGCATTAAATAACACTCAATATAAATCATAATAATAGTCCAAATAATTATTTTAAGGACCTAATAACATTACTTTAATTATTTGAAAGCTATATTAAAAATTGCGTAATCATAGCTCACTTATATTGGATTTTAAAGAAAATCGGGCTTTATTTGGAGCAGCATTTCGAAACCGAAAGACTCTTTTTCTCGGGACTTCGGGAGCCTCGGGGCTTCCTTAAGGTGCTAGGGGATCACCTAGGCTTAGGGGAGGGTTAAAACCCTTAGAGAGAGAAAGACTAGAGAGAAGAAATGAAGAAAGGTGTGAGATTTTTGGAATGGCTCGCATGCTATTTATAGTAAGTTTTTATGACACTTACTTCGTGAGTGTCATGAGACTCACGTCGTGAGTGTCATGAGACTCACATCGTGAGTTTCATGAGACTCACGTCGTAAATCTCATGATTCACTCCGTAGACTTGCCATTTGCGTCCCTAGCTTCGGATGGTGGCCATGACACCTCACGTCGTTAGTGTCATAAAGCTCATGTCGTGAATTGGATCTTATCCTCTCGCAGCTCCTAGATTCCAAATTATGACAGAATTTTGTGAGTGTCATAATTGTAATGTCGTGAATTGATCTTATCCTCTCGCAGCTTCTAGATTCCGAATTATAACATAATGTCACAACCGTCATAATTCTCACGTCGTGAATTAGCTAGTTTAGGGTTTTCAAAAGCTTAATCTTCGGAATGCCATAACTTTTGCATACGAACTCCGTTTTTGACGTTCTTTATATCTACTCGTAGGTGGAGACGTATTCTACAGCTTTCATTTGGATCTGTAAGGCTAAAAAGTCTTCTATCTTAAATTCACTATTTACGTCTCCCGGTGCCGTGCCAATTTTGCCGAAAAACTTCGACTAGCCATAACTTCTTCGTTATAACTCGGATTTCGGTGTTCTTTATATGTACGGAACCCTTGAGACATATTATACAACTTGGTTAAGTATTTTTATTATAAATAATCTTTTGTCGAAAAGTCGTTTTCAACCCCTATTATCTCTAAATTGACTAGCCCGGATCTACGGGCGTTACATAATTCCATAGTGGTTGCACTTGTAAATGAGTTCGTTTAACTGATCATAGTAACCTTCAATGGATTCACCATCCCTCTATGTGAAATCTTTCAACTCAATCAAACAATGCTTCACATAATTAATCTTCATCTTTTCACTCCCTAGAAAATTTTCTTTGGGAGTATTTCAGATTTCCTTAGTAGATTTACAACCCCTGACATAGTTGTAAACAACTAGAGGCAATGATCCACGCAAATATCTCATACACCTTTTCTCATTCGTCTTCAGTCTTTTAGTCTGATCATTAACAGTTGGAGATGTAGTAGATGAACCAATATTTTAAACATTCCTTGGTGGAAGATTGTTTCCATCAATACAATCCCAGAGCTCTTCATCCAGTCCATTCAGATAATCCTTCATGCGATTAGCCCATTGATCATAATATTCTGGAATAAGCATAGGAATCTTTGTTGAAGATCCTAACAGATGAGAAAACGATGTCATGGTGTTCATATTGAAATTCACCTTTGATGAACAGATGAATTCTCAAAAAAAACTTCAGAAATTTGAGAATTATGAAATCAATTTTTCAGAAAAGGAAAACAGAACACTCGATTAACCAAACAAGTTGTAGAATCAAATTTCAACTGAAGATCTAAGATGATTTTCAATATCAAAAGTGCAGAAACTTTTGAATCTAAAGTGAGACTCAAAATACGATCAATACAAGATGAAAATCAAATCATTATAGTATAATTCCTGCTCTGATACCAATTGAAGATGTTTGTTAATCGAGGAAGGAAATGAAATCAAACTAGTAATGAATTATGAACACCGAGAGTAAATATAATCTTGTTTCAGCTCAATTATGCTTTCGAATAAAAAGAATATCTAGACAGAATACAAGGTGAAAGTTCTTATCTAACTCTAAGTATCAACCCTTATTTATAGGATAAATAGAAAGCATACAAAAAATACAAAGGACTCAACATTATAGTTTTGAAACTAAAATTCCTTTGAAAATAACATTACATAAAACCACAAACATTACAATGCTTTCAACACCTTACAACTAACTTCGACCCCTACAACTCCAGGTCTGGAACTGAGGTTTACCATACTTAAGATAAAAAGTCATTAAATACTTACATTCGCATCGAAGTCTAGATCGTTCATAACCACATCAAAGCACCTAAACAAGAATGCTTTCGGTGAGCATCACGATTTGTCGTTTCCTTTTCTTCTGCCTCTCTCGTAATGTGCAAGTTTTCATCAAGAATGGCATCACGAGTCTTGCGCTTCAATTTTTCATTTTCTTCTTCTTCCTTAGTCACTTTCTCTTTTCCCTTTAAACTCGTAGATACATTACCCTTTGATTCAGATTCAGATACCTTTGCTTTTTCTTGTTCATGACCCTTTTTAGGTCCTTTTAAAGGTGGAGGCTTCACCAATTCTCCCCCTTGTTTTGGAATTGAGCTAAACTCCAAAACACCCTCAAGGCGATTTAGCATTGTGAATGTAGGGTGAAGTTTATCTGCTACATGCTTTCGAACTGTGATAGGGATCAACAGATCATAAGCCTCAATAATATTTGGTAGCAGTGAGTTAACATCGAAAACACAACTTTTGATGACAACTCTTTTCGGATAAGAGCTCATCAACCTTCTTCTCAGCAGTTTCAAGCTTCACACATAATACCTTCATTTTCTATATCTTGCTTGTGAGAGCATCCATTATTTTGCTCTCAAGAGCTAGTTCATCCTGAAGCTTTGTGATCTTGGATGTGATAGAAGAGTTGAGCTTAGATTGATCAGACTAGATTCCTGTGCGAACCTTCTCATGAGCCTTCTTCTCAGTGCAAAGGGAAACACTCAGATTTGAAATGGCTTCATTGGCTTTGGCGTTGTTGGAATCAAATGAGCTCTTAAAGGTGCTCATGAGGGCTTTGGCATCAGAAAGTAGTTTATCAACTTTTAGATTTCTTCCTTGCAAGTCTTAGCCGAATCCTCCATGTCTTTATTCGCCTTTTCTAGGTTCGCAGCGTGATCTTTTATCGTTGTTTCTATTAAATATTTGGCTGCTTCCTAGGAATATGCATTATTGGATGAAGTGTTGGAAGATTGGATTAACGAATCTAGTTTATCATTGATAGCCTTGAATTGTTTTTGAGTAATAGGGACGGTATCATCACTTTCATCAATGATTCAGAATAGAATGAAGGTGAAATCTTCAAAGTGAAAATCACCTCCAAAAATAGTCTCTGGATCATCCTCCCTTAGTGGAGAAACACGCGCTGTTGAATGACCAAAGATGAAACCTGAATACCTTGCCTCCACATCAGATGGGTTGACATTGACTAGAAGTTCGTCAGTGGTTGTGGTTGTAGTTACAGATGAATTAGTAAAGAATGAGGTATGGGATTGTGAAATGCCCAAGGAAACTGGTGGGCAAGGTGCTATGGTGATTGGGGTAGAAACTGTAGATGTAGGAGAAGGGATAAAAAATCTTGGAAAATATCTTCAGTGATTGGGACTGAGGTTGGAAGTTAAAAATTAACCTTTGGGTTCGTAGTTGTAGGCTCCGAAACCTTCAGATTATATGTTGCTGTAGTATCATCCTCTTGTTCCTTTGTGGTTTCACCATGCACTGGAACCTTCGAAACCGTGTTCGATTGCGAACCCTCTCGGTCACTCGGAGTTGGAGATCTAGGCTTGCGAGCCATTTTCTTAACCTTCTTTCTTTTTGGTGCCTGTGGAGGTTCAGAAGGACCGAATTTCACAATCCTCTTTTTACACCCCCCCCCCTTTGGGTTTATCAACCTCAGCAAGAATCTTCTGAAATTTGTCCGTTAGTGGGCAAAATCGTGAGACTGGCAGACTGCGATAGGCTCGCAATACTTCGCTTGCAACTATAACCTCTCGCAGCATAACTTTAGGAATGGAGCCAATAAAGCTAAATTTGGAGTAATCAGCAAGTATGATGTTCGTGGTGTGGAAAGTCTGAATCCCTGCAATAATGGAATCTTTGAGCATTGGAATGTGGAGTTTGCTGATTTCCCTTTGAACAAAAATATACCAAGAATGAGCACAAGAGATTTCATTGTGTCGTGTGGTAGAGTTGGTGCTTTGTACGAACTGATCCCAGAGAACTTACTCGCACAGTCGGAGTCGATGACTCTCTCCGAGAAGCTTTTGAAGAGTAGAGTGAAAAGGCCGTTCCACATTGGCAGATAATTAGGCTTCTTAAACTTGGAAACGACAGTTAGCGTTTCCTTATATCCCATCTGATAGAACATCTCTAGAATGGCGGAGTTGGAGACGCTTTCAGGGTTAATCACGTCACCACCCTGTGGAAGCCCTAGACGGTTGCAAAACCTTGACTTAGTGATTTGGGTTTTCCGATTGAAGATCTCAAATGTGAGAACTCGTCACCCTTTGTATAATTGGCAGTAGAATATGCTTTTGATAGATACACTATCGGAACAATTTCAGACTTGGTAAGAGCAAGTACTAGTGGTGAATACCTCAAGCATTCAATAATCGATTGAAGAAAGTCGTCGTATTTTGTATGATCAAGATTTAGAATCATGTTTTGATTTTCTTTGAGGTTGAGGATTAAGGATTGATCCATTTGTTCCATTGCAGAAGGAGTTTCTGAAGAGGCGGCCATTGATGCTTGTTGAAGAAGATGTATAGTAGAGAGAGAAATTGCTCTAGAATTTGATTTATTTGAAAACGGTAATGATAATTGAACCATCGGTATCCTTCTATACCTTGTAGTAGGAGAGAGAAATTCCGACGTTTGGCACTTCAAAAGCCTGAAAAAGCATGAGTGACAACTGTTACGTTAGGCGTGTGTGCCAGGTTGCGTAAAGCAGGCGTCAAGTCAGGATTCGTTTCAAATTCCACATACTTAAATTTCAAATCTTATCTTTTCGAATCGTCCTTTCAGAAATTGACTTTCGCAACCACATACATTCAGAATTGATCACCATTTATAATGCTCCGAACCTGAAAGCAACCAATAGGACTACGAACCAGAATTTTTGAAAATCATAAAGATCTTCGTGCAAGAGTGGGCCAAAGATAAAGATAAAGACACGAATCTGATGGATCCCGGGCAACGATCTCTTCCTTCGCAGTCCCGTTGAATTACGATCATCTATTTGTGGAGAAACAGTGAAAGACATCTTTTAATAAGTCAAATGCGGTGGCTTCTTCTTCAACTAAGTCTGAAACTCAACATAAGTCCGAACGTTCATATGAAGTACTTGTTTGACCGGTGTAGCCATAAAACAAGTATGCTTAGGAATAATTTTCAGTGACTAGGATAAATATTGAAATCTCAATAAAAACAAAAATGGATCTATTAGGAAGAAACGTTTTAGGACTAGAACATTTCATAAGATCTCACAAAATAAAAAAGATATTTCTTGGTACAGACCACGAAAGTGTACATTTGTTAATTCGTTGGTGAAAAATCTAGAACATTTAATTGTTCACCGTCAATTCGTAAAAATGTGTTGGATTTTGGGTTTCACTCAATTCGCGGTGATAACAAATTAAAGATCATAAACTTAGAAGTTGTGTAACCATAAACCTCAGTGGTAATTTATGATAGTCTTAAGGCTTACATTGGTGAATGTGAGTTGTGGAGAAGTAGTAGGAGGTGGCTCCAAAGAAATAGTGTACCTATGCTATGCGAAAGTGACCAAGTAGCGAACGCTTAACTCAATGTGAGAAGAGTAAGGTAGCATATGAATTATGTGAATAAACAACCTAATTTGGGAAGAAACAATTGGTGTTATCAATTCATTAAGGCTTCAACATAAAGTCTTTGAGGCTTCGGACTACATGTAGCAGCATGCTTCTAGGGACGCTTAACTAGTGCATAGATTAAGAATTTTATACCTGCCACATCATTCGTAACTTAGATCACCAAGATATGAATCTTCAATCCTGCTAAATTATCTGGTATTTTTGGTATATTTTGTTATTTGACTAGAAGAAATAAAAGAGAAAATATTTTGGTATTTTTGATATTCTGAAAAATAAATAAAAAGCAGAAACAAATAAAATATTTTTGGATTTTGTTTTTCTGAAAAAGAAATAAAAACAAAAATAAATAATAAGTAACAAACGAAGCATAAAAAGGATACATGAAATTCCAAACCTTCAAATGAACAGTGGACTGTGAGTCACTGTGAGCGTTCGCACCAATTCGCAGGATGAAAAGTAGACTGTGAGTCACTGCGAGCGTTGTCACCAATTCACATTCAAAACATTACGAATGCAAAGATTGTTTTGGAACAGATTCAACTTCTATCATTCCAAGTCATTGAACAATGTGATTGAAGATTTACTCAGGCAAGGCTTTTGTGAAGATGTCGGCCAATAGATCAGTGGATCTAATGATGTATATCTCAACAGTACCATCTTCCACATGATCTTTGATGAAGTGATACATCAGTGCTATATGTTTTGTCTTTGAATGTTGCACTGGGTTGTGACAAATACGAATGACGCTCTCATAATTGCAATATAGAGGGATTCGCTTCATGCTGATACCATAATTGTGATGCTGACTTTGAATCTAAATTACTTGTGAAATGAAAGAGGCAGCATCTATGTACTTTGCTTCAACAGTTGAAATGGAGACGCAAGTTTGCTTTTTGGATTGTCAACTTATGAGTTTTCCATCAAGAAATTGGCATCCTCCCCTTGTACTCTTTCTATCTAAACCGCAACCTTCAAGATCGGCATCCGAAAATGCTTTTACAAAGAAACTCGAACTTGAAAGGTACCAAATTCCTAGTGAGGATGTTCGCTTGAGATACCTGAAGATATTCTTAACTACGATCATGTGAGGTTCACGTGGATTCTCTTGAAACCTGGCACAGAAGAAAACAGAAAACATGATATCTGGAAAACTAGCAGTCAGATGTATCAACAAGACTATCATTTGATGATAGAGAGTGATATCAGCAGCTGGCTTGTCCAGAGATGGTGTTAGTTTTGTTCCGCATGCCATTGGAACCTTCACCTTTGAATCTCCAAACATTCCAAAATTTGGAGAGTAAAGTCTTTATGTAAGCCTCCTAATTGATAAAGATACCGTCTTGACTCTGTCTTATATTCAAGCCAAGGAAAACGTTAATTGGACCCATGGAGCTCATCTCAAATTTAGTTTCCATCAACTTTCGGAACTCAGTTGTTAAGTTGGGGTTAGTTCATCCGAAGATAATGTCATCAATGTAAATTTGGAAAATCATCAAGTGGTCACTGTCTTTTTTGCGAAAGAAGGTTCGGTCGACCGATCCCTATTTAAATTTAGCATATTTTAAAAAACGAGCTAGAGTTTCGTACCAGGCTCTCAAAGCTTGCTTTAGACCATAAACAGCCTTATCTAGAATGTAACAGTGGTTCAAATACTTTTCTTTAATGAATCCTGGTGGTTGTTCCACATACAGTGTTTCTTCTAATTCTCCATTTAAGAATACACACTTGACATCCATCTAATAAACTTCAAAGTTTTTGTGTGCTACGTATGCCAGAAAGATGCAGACAGATTCCAACCTTGCAATGGGTGTGAAGGTTTCTTCCTAGTTGATGCCTTCTTCCTGACAATATCCCTTTACTACGAGTCGCATCTTTTTTCTTATCACGTTACCTTCCTTATCCGTCTTGTTGCGAAATACCCATTTAAGACCAACAACGGATGCATCCTTTGGGATCGGAATTAGTCTCCAGACCTTGTTTCGTTCGAATTCATTGAGCTCCTCCTACATTTCTTGCACCCAATCAGAATGATCAAGATCAATTTGAACATTTTTAGGTTCAATCTTAAAGATACACGAATTGAACATTCGGTATTCCACTTTCAAAAATAAAGCATTTCGCTTCGCTTTTTGTTGAGCTCTCGTAAGAACTCCAGAAGACGAATTTCCTATGACTTAGGTGATTAGATGATCTTTGGTCCATTTTGAAAATGGAGAGAAATTAGGATCATATGTTGGATCCAATTCGACATTCACTTCTTTAAACTCATATTGTACATCCGAATAATCATTCGTATTTACATTCTCCCCCTCGAATGATGTATCAATATCTTCTTCTGGATTCGGATTCTCCCCATGGAAAGGTGGTTATGAGCTAACATTTGGGGCTTTATTCTCCCCCTGAACAGGTGTATCAAGTGAGGAGGTTAGATTGGAGCCCTCCCCCTATGGTGTAGCATTCGCACCTGTTGATGGAACTTTAGGATCATTTGGAATCTGGTGCTCATGTTTTCATTTCTTTCGCAACATCATCAATGATTTTCTTTAGTTCATCTTCCTTAGTGTTTGCTGCTTTGGACTCTAAGGATATTGCCTTTCAGGTTCGTCGAATAGGTTCAAGAACTCCTTGTAAAGATTGGAGAGTGGAATGGTAGCAAGATTCGGTTTGGGAAAGATCTCCTATGTCGGACTGTCATTCTTCTGAAACTTCTTCAAGTAATTGTCGTTGAAAGTAACATAGTCGGTTTCTTTTATCCTTTTTTACCTTTTGTTGAGAACCCTATATGCTTTAGAATTTAAAGAATACCCCCGGAAGATACCTTCATCAGCCTTCACATCGAATTTGTTCCTTTACTCCTTTGAGTTAAAGATAAAGCACCTGGAACCAAAAACACGGAAAAAATTGATATTAGGTTTGCAGTTATTTATGATTTCATATGGGGTGATACAGAATTGCTTGTTTAGAGTGGAACTATTTTGGGTAAAACATGCAGTTCCTATCGCATTCTCTCGGAAGTAAAGCGACATATTTGCGAATGACAGCATGGTTCTCACAGCTTCGCACAATGAGCAATTTCATCTTTCAATGACTCCGTTTTGTTGAGGAGTATAAGGAGTCAAAATTTGTGAGAGACTCCTTTCGCAATAAGAAATTCTTCAAACGCTTGGTTTTTGAATTCCAAACCGTTGTCAATGTGAATGTTTCGAACCAACTTTCACAGTTGTAGCTTTATCTGCTTTATAAAATCCTTGAGTCTTGGAGTGGCTTCTGATTTCTTCTTAAGAAAATGTACCCAAGTGAATCTAGAGAAATCATCTACAATTATGAGAATATATTTGTTACCACCAATGCTTTCAATTGCATAAGGACCACAAAGGTCAATATGTAAAAGTTCAAGTGGCTCTATGACTTTCGTATTCACAATCATTGGATGACTCTTCCCAAG